GACGATATCCGAGATGTATCACCACTTCGCGTGCTTGGAGCTCGTGCACGGGGAGGTGGAGTTCAGCCCGGGGGCGAGCATGGAGGCGCTCACGAAGAAGCCGCTCGAGCTGTGCGGCGTCGGGAGGTGGAGCTGATGACGACGGATGGACGGCGACGCCTACGCGCGCGCGAACGAACCCATCCTGGAGATAAACCCGTCTTACGTATTACGTCGTTCGTTCGTTCCTTCGTTCCTTCGTTCCTTCGTTCGTTCGTCTTCTCGTCCCTCTTCTTCGACCTCTTCCTCGTCGCACGAGCGCTGTACCCCGCGCGCGCACAAACCCACGACCAACCCCCCCCCCAACCGCGCGACCCGACCCGTCGATTCGCGTCGCGTCGATTCGCGTCCGCGCGTCAACACTCCGGGTCGTCGCAGACGATGCCCGCGAGCGTCTTCTGGTGGTCGTGCCACGCCACGACGTCGTCGTACTTCAACTCTCCGCCGAAACAATCCAACGCGCTGCCGACGGTGACGTCCACCCTCCCGCCGCCGGCTCTCCTGACGAGCTCTAAGTCGTCGAGCGACCGCGCGCCGCCGGCGTACGTCACCGGTATCGGCGAGCGGACGCCCAACCGTCGCACGAGCTCCTCGTCGACGCCGAGCTTCATCCCCTCTACGTCGACGCCGTGCACCAGGAACTCGTCGCAGTGCTTCGCGAGCTCGCGCATCGTCTCCTCGTCCACCTTGAGGTCCGTCCACTTCTGCCACCGGTCCGTGACGACGTAGTATTCGTCGCCCTTCTTCCTGCACGACAGGTCGAGGACGACGCGTTCTTTTCCGACGGCGGCGACGAGCGCGTCGAGCCGCTCCTGATCGACCATCCCGTCTCGGAACACGTACGACGTCACGATGACGTGCGACGCGCCCGCGTCGAGCAGCGGCGCCGCGGTCTCCGCGGTGACGCCGCCGCCGACCTGGAGCCCGTTCGGGAACGCGCTGACGGCGTCCATCGCCGCCTGTAACGTCGCGTCGTCGCGGGAGAGCATGATGACGTGCCCGCCGCGAACGTCGTCGCGCCGGTACATCCGCGCGAACTCCGCGGAGGAGGTCTCCGTCTCGAAGTTCGTCTCCGGGGTCTCCGACGCCGCGGAGCCGTCGGCGGCGTCCTTCAGCGTCCCGCCCACGATCTGCTTCACGCGGCCTTGGTGGATGTCGATGCACGGGCGGAACCGCACCGCCCGCGCGACGTTCTTCTCGGAAGAAGAGATCGCGGCGGACGCGGACGTCGCGCGCGCCGCGCGCGTCGGGCGGCGGTCGACGCGCGACGCGCTCGCGACGCGGACGGGCGCGCGGACGCGCGCGAGGTGCACCGCGGCGGACATCGTCGCGGGTGTCGTGCCGAGGCGGGCGGCTGCGGTGCGCGCGCGGCTGTACTCTGCGCGCGCTCGGAAGGAGATCCCTCCTGATGAAGATGAACGAAGCGAAGGCGCGCCATCGCGTCGACAGCTCCGGCGGGAAGTTTCACCGGCCGCTTCAAACCGCGCCGCGCTCGGGCCGCGGGCGCGCACGGCAGCCCGTCGCGCGATGGATCTCCCTTTCCCGGACAAGTTCTACCTCGTCTGCGCGTTCTGCGACCAGTGCGTCCCCGCGCGTCTCGCCCCCCCCCCCCCCACGATCGCTCCGCCTCTCTCCGATTCGATCGGATCTGCCGGGTGCTCACCTATTCGACGTCGTTCGACGCGCTCTCCCTCCCCGCATGCAGCCCCCCCGAGGGCGCGAACGGCATCACCGAGGACACGCGCCTGCTCCTGTACGCGCTCCACGAGCAAGCGACGCGCGGCCCGTGCGTAGTCCCGCGCCCGACCGCGTACTTCTACGACGGCGACGACGCGATCGACTGGGAGGCGTGGCGATCCCTGGGCGACATGAGCTCGCTCGAGGCGATGCGACTGCACTGCGCCGCGGTGGAGCGCGATAACCCGAACTGGTGGGCGCTTCTCACGAGCGGCCTCGACGACCAAAGCGTGCGCGCGATCGTGGAGACGGCGAGGTCGTGCACGAGGGAGTACCATGACGCGGTGCGAGCGGGGACGTTGGTCCCGCCGAGGCTGCCGGCGACGCGCGAGAGGATCGATCCGGCGGCGGCGGCGGCGGCGGCGCCGACGCGAGCCGTCGCGGCCTCCTCGTCCTCGGACGCGTCGTCGTCGTCGTCGTCGTCGTCGCTGAAGTGGATGGACGCGTACGGTTTAGAGACCCTGCGCGCGTCCTTGGACGCGGTCAACGCCGCGGTGACGTACCCGTTCGAGCAGCTCTCGGCGGCGCTCGCGACGCCGGTGGGCCTCGGCGCGTCGGCGACGGCGTCATCGACGGCGGCGACGACGACGCGGTCGCTGCTGTCGAATTTAAGACTGACGCGATCCGGGTCGATGCCGTCGCTGCTGGGCACGCCCACGGCGACGCGGCGGAGCAACAGCATGATGTCGGACGTCATCGAGACGGAGACGATGAACGATCTCGACGAGGCGGAGGCGCACGGGGTGAACCCGCCCGTCTACACGCCGCTCGACGAGATCGTTCCCCTCGCGGTGTGGCGCGCGCCGAAGACGAACGGGACGGGCCCTAGGGCGCGGTACCAGCACTGCGCGTGGCGAAGAGGCGCGGAGATGTGGATCTCGCACGGCAGCGCGAACGGGCGGAAGCTCAACGGCGACGCGCACGTGTTGGACGTCGAGACGTTGACGTGGGGGGTGAGGGAGGAGAAGGCGGGCGGCGGCGCGTTCGCCGCCGCCGCGGCGGTCGCCGCGCCGGACGGGACCGTCGCGCTCGCGCTCGGCGGCGTGGAGAGGCAGAGCGACGGCGGCGCGCCGAAGACGGCGATTCCGATCATCGCGCACCGTTGGCTGAACCTCGAGGACGACAGCGACGACGAGGACGACGCGCTCGCGGCGACGGCGTCGGCGTCGAACGCGAACGCGAACGCGACTTTGGCGCCGCTGCTCGCGATGCGCGTCCGCGAGCCGATCGAGTGGGTGGACGACGTGTACCCGTTCACGCCGTCGAACGGTTCGACCGCGGCGCCGAAAGGGCCGCGCCCGAGAGCGGCGCACTCCGCGAACGTGGTCGGTCGCGAGGTTCTCGTGTACGGCGGCGTCGCGCTCGCGCCGGGGGGCGCGAGGCTCCAAGGCGAGGAGGAAACGTTGGGCGACCTGTGGGTGTATTCCATCGACGACGCGGAGTGGCGATGCCCGTGGCGATGGGGGGAAGATGGGGAGAAGGAGAAGGAGGGCGCGCGCGGCCCGACGCCGCGGTCGGGACACGTCGCGTGCGTGGCGAAGGACCGGTACCTCCTCGTCTTCGGCGGCGGCGCCGGGAACGTCCTCGCGTCGAACGATCTCCACGCGTACGACTGCGAGACCGGGGCGTGGATCGACGTCGCCGCGCGCGGGGAGGCGCCGTCTCCGCGGTCGGGGCACGCCGCGTGCGTCGTGGAGAACAGCTGGTACGTGTGCGGCGGCGGCGACGGCGAGCGGGCGACGCCGGAGACATATAGGCTGGATTTCAGCGACATCGACGAGAAGGTCGTAAGGTGGTCCGCGATGGACCCGGGGACGGACGAGAACGCGGTGCGAGCCGCGGGGAAGGAGGGGTTATCGCTGGTGCCGTTCCGAGGGAGCACGGGGGACTTTATCCTCGCCTTTGGTGGGAGCGACGGGACGTGTTCGGACGCGTTGTCCGCGATGCGCGTGAGCAACGTGGACAGATGCCGATGAGAGGCGGCGCACGTCGTCATGAGATACCTTCAGGTACCTTCGTAGTAGTCTACTTTCGATGTTCTACTCGTCAGTCGTCGATGATGAAAGAATGTCTTCAACCTACAAAAAGACCGTGTCTCTGCGCACGGGGGAAACGACTACGCGCCGCCCCTCAGATTTTCTTTGACCCACCACGCGAGCTCCGTGTTGTCCGGCTCCCGCGCGTTCGTCTTGTAATAATCCGACCACCGCGACGACATCGGCGGGCTGAATCCGGCGCCGTTCCAGATGCACAACGGCGCGTCCGACGGCGTCGCGTCCGACGCGGCAGCCGAGCGGTCGAACATCGCCCCGCGCGCGTCCGGACCGATCGTCAGCGACCCCGGACGTCGTCGCCACTCGTGCGGGTACGAGATCGGCGCCTGGACGTACCGTATGTGCTCGTGCGACGCGTCCCAGCCGAAGTGGGTGTGACCGAACAGGTGCACGTGCTCGCGCGGCGACGCGTCGCCGTCGCCCGCGCCCGCGACGGCGAGGTCGCGAATTCGGCGGTACACGTAGTCCGACCCGACCGCCTTCGGGAGGTTCGGGTAGAACAGCATCCGCTTCTCCGGGCACAACTCTAACCGCGGGAGAAAGTGCGAGAACGTGATCAGCTTCGCGTTTCGCTCCGCGTCGCTCCCGCGTTTGAGCGCGTCCACGAACGTCCCCCAGCCGAGAATATCGTTCATGGCGTCGAGCGCCGCGGCGACGTCCTCGGTCGTCGGGTCCATGTCCTCCGGCCACTCGCACCGTTTAAAGTCGCTCATGACCTCCTCCGGCGGTAACACGTCCACGCCGACGTCCGGTTCGGTGTCGAACGACGCGTGGTACCACGACAGCACGGGGACGACCCAGACCGCGGGCGCGGTTTCGGTTTCGGTTTCGGTTTTGCCTCCGCCGCCGCCGCCGAGAAGCTTCGGTCGCGTGTGCACGCCCAGGGCGTCGCACAGCCGGAGCACGGCGGCGAGCTTTTTCAAGCTGTCGTCGTGCGTGCGATCGCGAGAGAGCGACTTGGCTCGTATCCACAGGTCGTGGTTCCCGGGCGTGAAGAACACGTGCGCGAACTTTTCGGTAAACAGCGCGAGCGTCGTCTCGAGCGTCTGGAGATCGTCGGAGACGTCCCCGGCGACGACGACCGCGTCGCGCGCGAAGCTCTCCCCGCAGATGTTCTCCACCCACGCGAGGTTCTCATCGTAGTCCGTGTGAACGTCCGACACGAAGAACACCCGGGGTGAGCGCGACGGATCCAGTTCCGGTTCCGGTTCCGGTTCCAGTTCCGGTTCCGGCTCCGCGAGCGGTCCCCGCGTCGTCGTCGACGTCTCCGCGCGCCACGCCGCGTTCGGACCGACCACGCGCCGCCGCAGCGGATCGCGAGCCTTCGGAAACCCGACGATGACGTCGTTCTTCAACCCAGCGCCGTCGCGTAACATCTTCATCACGCGGACGCCGTACCCAACCTCCGCGGCGGCGGTGACCCTGTCCACCTCCACGGCCGCTTTCGCCGCCCTCGGGAGCCGTCCCAACCCTTCCTCCCTTTGCTCCGAGCTCAGCGCGTACGCGTCCACGCCCTGGTGCCCGCTCCAGTCCGCGGCGGCGGCGATGGACAAGTACGTCGGCCGCTGAATCGCCCCGCGCATCCACGCGCTCCGCGGGTGGATCACGCGGAGCGTGCCCAACCCGTTCCCCGGGTTGACGACGAGCTCGTCGTCGGCGGCGGCGGCGGCGGCGGCCGCCTTGAGGTCGTTTTTTAACCCGGACACGGACTTCATCCCTCCATCTTTCAACTTACCGACGCAACACGGCGCGACGACGAACGCGGCGTTCCGCGCTTGCGCTTGCAGCAGCACCGCGTCCGTGCCGCCGCCGCAGACGTGCAGCGCGAGCGCGAGGTCGCAGTCGCCGTCGTAGTCCTCGATGAGACCGCACCGCGCGGTGACGTTACGGACGTTCGCGTCCTTCGCTCGCGATCGTAAAATCTCCACCGACCTAGGGTTGAGGTCGACGCCGACGAAAGACACGTCGGGCATGACGCTCGCGAGGGGTAAGATCAAGTTCCCGGTCCCACACCCGAAGTCGACGACCGTGAAGTTTTGGTCGTCGTCGTCGCGCGTGCTATCCTCCGCGGCGGCGGCGATGACGGCGTGGAACGACTCCACCTGCAAGCGTTTCCGTCGTCCTCTCGCCTCGCCGCCTTTTTTGTTCGACCCGGCCGGGTCCGCGGCGGGGTGTACCTTCCCCCAATCAAACTTCGCCACGTCAGCGTCGATGAACTCGTCCGTCCAGCGGCTGTACAGCGATCCCCACGACGCGCGCCACGTGGGGTCGTTCATCCACGCCGCGGCGTCGTCGGCCGCCGCCGCCGACGCCGCCGCCGCCGCCGCCGCCGCCGCCGCCGCCGCCGCGGCTTCCTCGTCCCACATCGGATGCGACCGCAGCAGGTCCGCGAGCGTGCCCTCCAACGCCGCGGCGTCGCGGTCCTTCCTCCGCCGCCGCTGCCGTCGGTTATGCGCCCTGCGTTCTCTCCGCGCCGCTTTCGCTTCTTCGTCCTCCTCCTCGTCGTCCTCGCCCTCCCCGGCGAGGAATTCCTTCACGCGCGCGCCCGCGGAGGACCGCAGGACCCTCCCTCGCATCGCGACGCCGTCCAACGCGCGCGCGGCTCGAACGCCCTCGCCCGCGGTCGCGAACTCCACGACCGCGAACCCGCGGTGGAGCTTCCCCTCGTCGCGCCTCTTCCGCGGCTTCACCGTGCCGTCCGCGAGCGTCTTCTCGGTCCATCCCGGCACCGCGACCGAGATCGCGCGCGACGCGAGCGACGACGACGCGTCGTCGTCCGCGCCCGCGCCGGCGTCGTCCGCGACGACGCCGCGCAGGGCGTCCAGGATGAACGCGCGGACGTCCTCGACGGCGTCGAAGTAATCGAAGTTCCCGACGTACACGTAACGAAGCTCCGCGTCGTCGTCGTCCGTCGCGCGGGACGACGACGAGGACGACGACGAGGACGCGACGGACGTTCGGCACCTCGTCAGCCCTCGCTGTCTCCACGACGACCCCGCGCCGCGCATCCTTCCTATTCCTCCTCGAGCGCGCGCGCCCGCGACGGCCGCGCGCGCGCACACGCCGCGCGTCGAGAGTGCAGACGCGACGCGCGGCATCCACCGCGTCGCGTCGCGCCCGACACTGACCGGGAGACGAGCGGGCGGAGGCGGAGGGAGGGAGGCTTCCGAGGTTTTCGCAAGCGACTTCGCAGTGAAAAAGTTCATCTCAGTTCGTCTCTACTGTAGCTACTAGTCCGCCTTCGTCCCGCTGTGCGCTCTGACCGACTGCGGCGACAACACCGTGTCCAACGCCAACCCGACGACGCACACGACGCTGAGGTACCCCACCATGGACGCCCACGCGGTGAGCGTCCCAACGTGGATCGTGTCCATCGCGCCGTTCACCGCCCCCGTGAGCAAATTGGCGACGAGAAACGTCGGAAGCAGCCGTCGATTCACCGCCGCGAGGAGCTTCGGCACCGGCGGCGTCGCGGGGAACAGCAACCCGGCGGCGATGAACGCGAGCAACACCTGGAGGTTAAACGCGAGCATCCACGCGCAGTACGCCGCGTTCGCGGTCCGCCTGGAGACAGCCTGGCATCGCGCGTGAAGCGTCATCGCAGCCGCCCAAAACGCCGCGTCGGCGACGGCGAGCGACAGCAACCACCGCCACGCCCACTGAAGGTCGTTCCATACAAGCGAAAGTCGGGGTGGAGTTGAAAGGCGTCAGGTGGAGTTGAAAGGCGTCGAGGTCGGGTATTGAAACCGAGGGGTGGGCGGAGAGAGACGACGGCGAAAGTCCTTAAGGATCGGCGTCCACCTCGCCGACGCGGTCGTATGGGAACCAGTGTATAGAACGCACCTGATACCCGCCCAAGCCGGCGCCGACCTCTAACGCGCTGTCGCGCTTCGCGCGCGCCGTCTCCGCCGCGTCCGTCGCGACGCGCTGTTCGTGAGCCGTGCACGCGGCGATCATCGCCTCCCGCGCGGCTTCCTCCTCCTCCGTCGCCTCTCTCAGCGCGCGCGTCGTCGCGCTGCGGGTCGTTAGATTCGTCAGTCGATGATTCGATGAAAGGGGACGGGACGCGCGCGATCGAACGCGACGTCGTGACCGAGCGGTGGCGGGCGGGTGAAAAGCGTTCGTTTCGTTTCGTTCGCACGCGCGGAAACAGAAACAGAAAGATAACAACGCACCGTATCGACGCGCGCTTCGCCGCGTCGCAGAGCGACCGCTCCACGAACCGCCCCAACCCGGCGCCGAGGAAGTACAGCGCGACGTAGCCGGGGATGGAGCCGACGCCCTCTTTGTTCTGCTCCAGGAGCCCCTCTCCGCGCGGGACGTCCCGGAGCAGGTACTCCCCGTATGATGACGCGACTCCTGCTGCCCCGGCCCCGGACGGGGACGCGCCGCGCAGCAGAGACGTCTGGTGCGCGACGAGAATCGCGAGCCCCGCGAAGGATGAAAACGCCGGCGGCGGCGGCGTCGCCGTCGCGCACAGGTCCACCACCGCGAGCGTCGCGAAGAAATTCCAATGCCTGCCGTATTCCCCGACCGGCTGCTGGTAGTCCATCGCGTGCGTCGCGAGCCCGCGCGCGCACGCGAGGAAGATCAGCGACCACCACCGCGTCGATCGCAGCGTCCTCGCGATCGTGTGCGCGCGCTCCGGCGGCGCCGCGCCCGTCGCGTCGTTCGTCGCGTCTCGGCCTCCGCCCGCGTGCGCGTTGGAAGATGAAACGTCAACCGACGCTCGTTTCCAGAACGCGAACCACCACGACGGCGACGACGTCGTCAACCCGCGCGCGACGCGCGACGCGAGCGCGTTCGCGAGCACGAAGGAGCCGCTCCCGACGTCCATCAGGCCGACGCCTCTCGTCGAATCCGTCTTCGCGAGCCGCCGCGGAAACGCGGAGAAATCCACCGCGAGTATCGCGACCGCGGTCGTGAGCGTCATCGCCGCGCGGTACGCCGCGAGATACGGCCGAGGCGCGCCGAGGACGTCCAGCGGCCCCAGCGGCAGCGCGGACGGGCGCCGCGAGGACTGCTCGTCGGCGCTCCGCGGCGGCGGTCGATACCACGGCCCCGGGAACCGCGCGAGGAACGACCGACGCGGGGACGTCGCGACGACGTCGTTGAAGCCGTCGTCCGACCGGGCGTCGTCGCCGCCGGCGTGTATCGCGCGTCGCCGCGCCCTCGCGCGCGTCGCGGCGAGAATCGCCGCGCAGCCGACCGCGAAGAGCGTCGGGAGCGCGACCGCGGGCGCGAGCATCGCGGCCAGCGCCGGGAGGACGACGCAGACGAAATCGAGGCACACCATCGGCATCGCGCGCAGCGGGTTGCCCCTCGCGTCCACGGCGACGCCGCCCGGGGTCGTCCGCACGCCGCGCATGGCGTCGATCGCGTGCCGCGTCGCGACGCCGAGCGGGACGACGTTCGTTATCGCGCTCACCTCCGCGAAGGACGTGCCGTTCAGATTCTTCACGAACGCCTCCCTCACGGTGCGTCGCGCGGCGCGCGCGATCGACGCGTCGTCGTCGTCGCCGCCGCCGAGGCCCCACCCCGCGGCGGCGACGAGGGGGAGACAGAGCAGGACGAGCGCCGCGCTCGCGCGCGTTCTCGACGGACCCGCCATGGACCAACCCGCCGCGCTCGGTCGCATGTGTGCGCGCCTCGGACGCAATGCGCGCGAGATGCGTTTGAACCTCGGCGCGGATCCCGCGCCATGCAAGCCCGCCGGACGATCGGCGGAAGCGCGAGTTTCACCGTGAGTTGGCGCTGAAAGCGCGAGTTAGTGCTGAGTTTTCATCGGCGCGCGGTGGACGTTTCATCGACTTCCGCGATCAACAAACGTTATCCCTCTGGTATCGGCTCTCCACGTCCGCAATTTCGAGCGACCGAGGTTAAACTCGCTTCGCCCCTGTCGTGGTCCCTCGCGCGGTCCCGTAAAACGCGCTTCCGCGCGCGCGCGAGCCTTCATTCACGCCGACGACGCGCGGAAACCGCCGTCGCGTCCACGTCTTAGGGTAGCCTAACGTCCACCCCGTCGAGGAGGGACGCGCGACGGGCTCACACGTCGTGAACGCGCGTTCGTTCTTTTCACGCGCGAACGCATTCGGGTGTCGTAACCGCTGAGACGGAAAACACCGTCGACGCGAGATGAGCACGAACGCGACGGCGGCGATTGCGGGCCCCACGGGCGGCGGGAAAGCCGGTGGGGGGGGTAGCGGGGTGTCTGATAGTCAAGCCGTCGCGCGTCGGTGCGTGTTTACCCTCGCGCGCGGCCGCGGCACGTCGTTTTCCGCGTCCATTCCCGTGTCGGGGTCTCGCTCACCTCGCAGCTTTCTCCCTCAATCCCTTCCGACCACGACAGGCTGCAGAGCGAGCTCATGTCGCTCATGGTGCGTGATTTCTTCATCCCAAACCCTCCGCGTCGCTCGTGGACGGTCTCAAGACTTCGCCACGGGCGGTATCTCGTCGAACCCGCGACGTCTCCGACCGCGCGACGCCCCCGCTCGCGCGCCTCCCACCCCGAATCCCCCACTTCCCAGTCCCTGGTTATTAAACCCACGCTTCGTTCCCCCTCTCCGCCTCCCGCAGACGAGCGCGGACGCGGGCATATCCGCGTTCCCGGACGGCGATAACATCTTCAACTGGGTCGGCACCATAGAGGGCGCGGTCGGGACGGTGCGTGGACCTCGAACCCGCGCGCATCTCGCGTCGTGATCCCCCGCGACGCGAGACGCGCGTCTCGGATCCGCGTCGTCGTTTTTTCCTCCGAAAGCGTCGTCCGTCGTTGCTTCCGAGCATTTCATTTCGTTTCGTTTTCCCTCCGTCGCCCGTCGCCCTCCCTCCCTTCTGACGCGCCCTCCCCCTGGGCCCCAGGCGTACGAGGGACTCACGTACAAGCTCTCGCTCGCGTTCCCGAACGACTACCCGTTCAAGGCGCCCACGGTGAAGTTCGAGACCCCGTGCTTCCACCCGAACGTCGACCAGTTTGGAAACATCTGCCTCGACATCTTGAAGGAGAAGTGGTCCGCGGTGTACAACGTGCGAACGATCTTGCTGTCGATCCAGTCGCTTCTGGGCGAACCCAACAACGCGTCGCCGCTGAACGCGCAGGCGGCGCAGATGTGGGAGAACCAGACGGAGTATAAGAAGGTGCTTCACAAGAAGTACAAGGACGACGCGAAGTGAAGTGAGCGAGCGAGCGCGCGACGTCGCGTCCTGGTGCGAAGCCCCGCGGATGGATGGTTTTTCAACCGCCCCGCGTGACGGAGGGCGCCGGACGCCGGGGGCCGCGCGACGGACGCGAGCTGCTTTTGATTCCTTTCCCGCCGAGCCTCGCTCGGGTCGTGCGATGTAAACTAGATAGAGCGTGAGGAGACGCGGTCGTTCTGCCGCGTTTGCTGTGAATAACGCGAAACAGCGGCGACGCCGTGATACACACCGTGCCTCGACGCGCGCGACTTCATCCATCCGTGATGATCATCTCCCGAACCACGTGAGGAGCCTTTTTCGGGGCGTGCGCCGCGTCCATCCACTCGAGACGCGCGCGAGGCTGAACGAGCGGTGACGTCATTCATGGTGAACGCGTCGCCGCCCGGCTCGACGGAGGCGCCTCCCCCGCTGCCGCCGTCGCGCGCGGGCGCGGGCGCGCTCGGACGCAGCGTCACCGCGGACGGACGGAAGAAGTCGCTGACGCTCCTCGGACATCCCGCGGGCTCGCTCGCGGGCCGCGACTCGCCCTCGCCGACGCCGAGGTTCCGTCGCGCGGAGAGCGCCGCCGGCGGTAACGGCAGCTTCGGCGTCGGCGGCGGCGCGAACGTCGCGAAGCTCAAGGCTGAGCTCTCCGTGTGTAAGCTCACGCTGAAGGCGCTCAGGAAGATCCTCGGCGACGCGTCCGCGGGCGCGAGAGTGGACGCGGACGGGAGAGTGCGAGATCCCTCGAGGGTGCTCCACGACGCCGCGGTCGTCCTCGCGGTCGCGGACGACGTCGTCCACAGCGACGACGAGGAGGAGAAGGACGACGACGCGACAACAAAACCCCACAACGGCGATCGCGCCGGGGACGCCGCGGTGACGCTCTCGCTCGCGGAGATCGGCGACCAGGCGAAAGATTTCCTCGCGCAGTACGACTCCGGCGGCGGCGCGCTCGACGAGGAGACGTTCGATTACGGCGTCCGGCTCGCGCGCGCGGCGTACGCGGCCGCGGCGACGACGACGGCGACGGCGAACGGCACCGGGGTGCCGACGCGCGCCCCGCTCAAGACCGCGGCGCATTCGAGAGCCCACTCGCATTCGCACGCCGCCGCCGCCGCCGCCGGCGACGACGACGACGACGACGGCGACGTCGCGGCTGAGATTCGAGACGCGGTGTGCGACTGGGACACGTTCGACACGATCGCGTTCGATGAACGGTTACGAGCCGCGCGCGATGTGCGCCGGGGACGCGCGTCGTGCGACGACTCGGAGACGACGTCGACGTCGACGTCCGCGAGGGACGCGCAGCAACCCAGCCGGATCTTGCGACACGTCGTCGGCGCCGTCGTCGATCGATTCGACCTCCTCGAGGCGAACGGGGTGCGTAAAGACGTCTTCACCGCGTTCCTCGTGGATTTGGAGAAGGCGTATAAGCGCCCGGACTATCATACCGCGACGCATGCGGCTGACGTAACGCACGCGCTCGCGGTGTTACTCGAAAGAGGGTTACTGGACCAGATCACGCCGATGCAGGCGCTGGCGATCGTCGTCGCCGCCGCCGCGCACGACGTCGGGCACGAAGGTTTATCGAACGCGCACCTCGTCACGACCGCGGCGGACGTGGCGACGCGCTGGAACGACGTCAGCGTGAACGAGAACGGGCACGCCCACGTCACGCTGGGCTTACTGAAAAAGCACGGGGTGCTTGAGTCGTTCGACAGGGAAGCCGCGCTCGCGTTTCGCGCGATCGTCAGACGTTTGATTCTCGCGACGGACATGGAGAACCACACGCACATGATGAGCGATTTCGTGGCGATGGCCGACGCCGCGGACGGCGCGCCGGTGATGCGATGGAAAGACCCGACGCTGGCGATGTGTTACGCCCTGCACGTCGCGGACATATCATCCCCGGCGCGGCGCGAGGAAGTCGCCGAGAAGTGGGCGGAGAGAATCACCGAGGAGTTTTACAAGCAAGGGGACAAGGAGCGCGCGCTCGGGATGACCCCGGTCGCGTTCTGCGACCGGACGCTCGCGACGCCGACGTCGCGCGCGTCGAACCAGCTGCACTTCATCGACTACGTGTGCAAGCCGTGCATCGAGATCTTAGCGACGACGCTGCCGGACGCGGCCGAGTTGATGTTGCGTCACCTCACGCGGAACCGGGAGATGTACCGGCGGATGTGCGAGGAGGACACCACCGCGGTGGGGGCGTAGTGTAGTGTACGATATCATAGTTCGCGCTACAGTAATACTAACCTTATTATCTCTTTGACATCCAACGTCTCCTCTCACGCGTCGACCGTCGCCGCGCCTTGGCTCCCCGTCATCTTCCCGGGGTGGTTCCGAACCTTCCGCACGCGCGTCTCGCCCGGGTCGAACCCCGCTTCCTCCGCGCCCCACGTCGACCACGCCGGCGTCGGGAGCATGTAGTCCTCGGCCGTGAACGGCTTCCCGCTCGCGGCGAGGTCTTGAAACTTCTCGTAGTCGATCCACGTGTGCCACGCGCCGTCGCGTAAGTACGGGTCTTTCCGCGCGAGGAGAATGCAGCAGCTGTGCTCGTGTTCGCACGCGAGGCCGTACGCGGCGCTCGCGCGCGTCCCTCCCGTGATCTCCTCCTCGACGGGTTCGGGTTCATCGCCATCGACCGCAGCGCGCCCCTCCGCGTTGCACAGGGACTCCCCGAACGCTTTCACGTCCTTGTGGTACGGCACGTTTTTCATCGTCAAATTCGACGCTCCCGAGGTTGATCCGCAGTACGTCATGCCTTTGATCTCGATAAAGTCCGGCTTGCCGAGGTCGATGAGCTTCGCGTACTCGGTCGCGTCGGAGGCGTTCCACCCGGCGACGAGGGTGAGGCGGTACACCGTGCGCTGGTTCTTCGTTCGCAGAGCTTTGAGGCTGCCGACGAATCGGTCCTGTCGGCGTGAGGGAGGAAGAGGAAGCGAGGAAGGAAGGAAGGGTGAGCGGGGCATCGTACGAACGAACGGGCGAAACGCGCGGACGAAGGATGTGGGTGCTTTTTATCCCGTGCGGCAGACTGATACCGCCGCGCGGGATCTTCAAGCAACGTTCTTGTCGGCGCCTCGCGGCAACGATCCGCTAATTAATGTAGCGGTCGCTGTTTGACAAAGAGGCGCCAAAAGAAAAGAGAAAAAAAAACCAGACAGACGAGACGCACCCAGTAGTCGCCAAACAAAGGCCGATCGATCGCCTTCAACGTCTCCGGCGTCGCCGCGTCCACGCTCACGTACAGCTGCGTGATCGCGGGGAGGTTCACGATCGCGTCCGGGAACTGCGCGTTCGTGACCAAGAACGTGCTGATCCTCCGCTCGTGCAGCAGCGACACGAACTTCGCAATCTCCGGATACATGATGGGCTCGCCCACGAGAGACAACGCGCAGTGCCTCGGATCCATGCCCTCGTCGAAGCGAGTTTGTACCACCCCCGGGACGCCTTTCATCTGCTTTATCATCCCTCTGTGTCCGTCGATCGCCGCGGTCACGAGCGTCAGCGGGTCGTCCATCTGCCACCTCCACTCGCGTCCGACGGGGTTGGTGTGATGCCGCCAGCAAAACACGCACTTGTTGGCGCACGCCAGGCTCGGCGTCGTCTCCATGCACCGGTGCGACTCGATGCCGTAGAAGCTGTGTTTGTAACACCCCCCGCGGCCGCGCAGCATCGCTTTCGTCCACCGGCACAGCTTCACGCCGCTGTGCGAGCCGAGGATTTTATACCCTTGTTTCGTCAGCGCTTCGCGGAGCTGCGGCGTGACCATCTCGCGTTTCTCCTTCGTCGCGTCGCCGCCGCCGCCGCCGCCGCCGCCGATGTCTTCCATGTCGAGGTCGTCCTCGCTCCCCGCGGACATCTCGTCGCCGCCGCCGTCGTCGTCCCCCGACCCTTCCTCCGCGTCCGTGTCGTAGTCCACGACGACGTCCTCCGAGGACGTGTCCGACGGCGACGACGCGCGCGCCGCCGCCGCCGCCGCCGCCGCCGCCGCGAGCGGCTTCCCCCCGCCGTCGCCGTCGCCGTCCCGGTCCCGCGTCCCCCTCGCGCCCGCGCCCGCGCGTCTCTTCATCACGTCCTCGTTCGCCCGCATTCCGCCGCCGCCGATCCCGCCCGCGGTCAGCCGCGCCGCGAGCTTATCCGCCCACTCGTGGAACGCGTCCTCCATCCGTCCGCCGCTCTCGGGGGATCCTCAGAGTC